CAACGGTCTCAGTACATTCATTGTGCACAACAGTTGTTGTTGTTTGTTGCTCATTTTTAATCGTATGAATCTGCTATTTACTTAAAAATGAACATTCAACGGTGAAACTACAGCGAGTAGAAACGCCTCAGGAGCCCATCGGTCCAACTGCTGTGTGACTAAATCATGTCAATTCTACTTTTAGTAATGTGAGCGTGTAAATATGAAGCAACCAAGAGGCCTGGAATGCTAATATTTAAGAAAAAAAGAGTTGTCTTCTATCTTTGTTTCACATCTAATAATTCCTACCTAAGCACATAAACGCCTTAATATATGTAACTCTACTTTTTTCATTTCCAGTGGTCGCCAACGGTGCAACATACAGAATAAAACATCAGCAAGAAGGAATGTCTGGTTTTGCAGAATTACAACCCAAGAAGCGTATAAAAGGACCTCAACAGGACGCCAGTACAACTCTTACAGATAGCTAGATTGCAAATGTCGTGTTTTTTTTCTTCTCATTTTACTCATTTGAAACCACAAAGTACCGTGATCCAGAAAATCAACAAAGAAACAAAAGCATCATTTCCCTAAGTTTTAGAAAACAAGTCTTATTAAGAAACAGGTCCGAATGTTTGAATATCTACGCTGCAAAAGTGTTTTTGTTATTTAGTTTTTTTTGCTCAGTTTGTTCATTTAAGCTCACACCAACAAGTGTGGTGGATACACAAATAGTCAGTTGAAATATCAGCATATCAGAAATTCATTAAGAACATTAGATTTCCATAGATGACACTTACTTTAGGTGTTGAAATGGTGACACTGTAAAACGTTTTTTTTTTTTTTCTTTTTTGCGTCGTTTTGATTACTTAATGTGACATTTCTTAGTCCTTAGCCCTGACAAAATGTATATCGTGTGTTTAAGGCCTCTACTTACATTACAATTGATAGAAGTTACATCGTTAACATCCAAGTGGCACACACAATCAAAAATATGGGGGAATGCAACAGAAAACAAAAAAAGAAAAAAAAAGTACATTTCCGGTGCTGAATATGTAACATTTACATCATTTGTTAGCTCATTCGTTAAATGTCTCAAACAAGAAGCCGTTGATGAGCAAAAAATACACAATCAGCTTTAAGGAACAAACTCTTAATCCTCAGAGTTGGCATATATATATATATTTGTCTCTCTTAAACAATTAGAGAAGAAAAATGTCTTCGCCAAAGGGTCACCAAATTCACACAGAGTCTGCAGCTGCAGCCATCATAGAGAACCCATCATCTCCTGCATGCATGCTTTACTAGTGCTGCCATGCTGCTCCGCTGCTCGGGAAGCTTTGTTTAGGACCTCGTGTTGCTGCAGGTTAGATGGACAAAGATGGAGAACTTCTATCATGGCTACCACTGCAGCTCTGCTCATCTAAATCTAGCTCGTCATGCAATATTTCTTTTAACCACAGGAGCTACTCTTCCTTCCTCTGCACTCCGCTCAAAAGAAAATTGAACGCCAAAGGTGTAAACGTTTCTCTTTCGTTGGTCCTTAACTAAGGGGGAAATCAGCCCTCACAATATGTTGGCACAGAAGAAACACCGACAAAAACACATTCCCTGGGTCACAGGAGTTTTATATATAATTCTATATTTGTGATTTGTATAACTGCTCTAACATCTGCTCTTTTTTTTTTATTTTTAATAGTTTCTTTTGTTCTCTGGCAGTCGTCGTTATCCTCGTAATAAAATCCACTTAATGAAATTTTATCGTGGTGAAAAATGAGCCTGCATTTTTCAAGTCTGAAATTGTTTCACGGGGGAATTAAACTGGATTTTAACAGAGACTACGTGAACACTCTCCCTGGAATAAAAACAAACAATATGAATGAACTGAGGTAAAAATGACATGTTTCAACAAGTGATTTTCTGCATTTAGAGTTTCTAAATTAGTTTTAGATCACCAGTAAAACGTGCCATTTTCCCACAGTTTCTACGAAGCGACTGAACGATGACTGGATGTTTTCTGATTATTGCTTTACAGAATGTAGCTAATTGGTTTGGAAACAGATACAGCATTAATATCCCTGCAAACACTGCTACTGGCACGACGGAGGCCGCTTTTGCAAAGTTTCGTAGAGTAAAATTACTCCAAATTGGGTGATTTTTTTTATTAAAATAGTAGCTGATTAGTAGAAGTGAAGTTTGATTTTTATTCTGAAGTTAGAAATGGCTGAAATTGAGATATGTTTTTTTTAAATTCTTCTATTGTCTGTTAAAGAAAAAAAAAGAAGAAGCTCAAAACAAAATTGTTGTAAAAATCTGAATTAAACTGCTACATATGTGTGTGTGTTCCTCCAACGTACGGCGTCTCACCCCTCCGTGTAGCATACAGCTCATGCTTAGCCTTATCGAGTCGTGTGCTAATTAATTAGAAGTTTTAATCAGTCATGCGGATGCTACCAGCTAATGCTACAGTCTTACGATAACTAGCGAGGATATCACTCCTTCCCTCCCTCAGAGTTTTAACATTAATCTACTAAGTCGTTATAGATTAACTTTGGCTCACTCCAAAAAAGACACTAACGATCGTAATATTTACACATAAAAAGACATTAAGAATCATAAAGTGCCCAAATAAAAGACGTACACCTTTGTTCTTTAATAAACTATAAATTTCTCTACAGTGTGCACATTGTGTTCCCTTTAAATTCATCCTATTTTTGTGTCCTTTTTTTTTTTTTTTCTTTTGAAGTCCAAAAAAAACCTGACGTCAGTCCAGACGGATCCTTTTGTTTGGATGATGCAAAGTACATTTCATGCTTCCTTCCTCTCTCTCTTTCCTCATCCTCCCTCTCTTCCTCCCTCCACACTGAGTCGTAGCATGGCTAATCACCAGGTGCCGCGGCGGCCTGCGGATTAGGGCTGTAATTTAGAATAAAAGGGACGCCGCTCTGCACAGCCCGAGCGCTGCTGTCGGATGTTGCGAGGGGCTCGTTTCTGTTCCCTCCCTCACGATGGCACATGCCGCACGGTAATCGAAGAAGACGAAGGAGAAGACACTTGCTGGTAGAAATTGGCACAGTAGAAACTGTTATTAGACAACCGTTAGCCAAAGCTTTTTTTTTTTTTTTTTGTCGTTGTTGTTGTTTTTTTTTAAAAAAGAGAGGAGGAATCTTAAAAATCTACTTCTAGAGTGTTAGCTAAAGAGCATTCCAAACTACAATTAGACTGGGATCTACAGCGAGGTGTCCGGCTGTCAGCCAGGCTACTATCCGCAATTGTTCTGTTTTGTGTTGTTGTGTGTCGGTGCTACAGCTCAGGCACAGCGCTGCCCCCTGCACTTGATTTGACCTGCACTATACGGTGGAATGTGAAAATTTAGAACACAACGGGGACCAAACACCCTCGACGTTTCAGACCCCCTTTTACATCTGGCTGCTTCAGGCCGGCTGCACGTGGACCGGATCCCGATAAGGTTTAACAACATCACATGCATTTACAGTTAGCCGCTTTGAATTCTAATCAGAATCTAATACAATATATGGCATGCATATAATCCAATTTAGTTTGGCTGCGACGCTATCGCTATCCGCCATTTTCATAATGTTGCGTGCCAGGAAGGATTCTGGGTGACGCGTTATTTGGAGAGACAAATGCTTCTACGCTTCACGCGGAGTCGCCTCCTGAAGTGATTCAGGTGGCTTTAAACTTTTCTTGAAGTGTCTTGGCTGCAATTACTGCTGCTCACATAAGCTGGGAATCTCTAATTGGACATAATCCAATGTGCTATTGATTCAAGAAACAGCCAGCTAAAATGAGGTCTTGCTTCCAAAAAGCCCAGAGGATGCATGTTTCCATTCAAACACAACACCAGCTGATTTGATTGAAAAAGCACCTTCAAGAAAAGATGACAAAAGCATCAGTGAAATCAGCTAATGCTGCGATTGAGCGCGACGAGAATGTACAGAATGGCACATGGTCTTTGGGAACTCATTATTTAAGCCATTTAAATCCACTCATGAATCAATTTATTCCTGCGACTGCGAGTAAATGCAATTAACTGCAGTCTTAACAGCCTGGGAGGATAGAAAGCCAGCCCCTGGATTCCCAAGATCAGGTCAAGATCGGGATCCTTCCAGAGGATAAAAGGGGCGACTCCACTCAGATCCAACACGTTACCAAATGAATTGAACAAAGATGGGCTAAATGTGTGACACACACACAAAAAAAAATAAAGTCAGAGTGTTCAAAACCAAGACGTCTTGGTCAGTTACGACAAATAAGTTTAAATTTTCCCTTAAAAGTATTTTCTTAGTCCTGCAGCGCACACATCCATCCATCCACCAGCGAGGCTCCTGCAAACCGGGAGGCTGGTTTCTATCCGAGGACACGCTCTCTCCGGACCCGTGGTTAGACAGATAACACTCAGGAGCTGTCCAGCCCCTTAATGAGGAGATAGAAAGACAACGAGCAGTCCTGGGAATGGGAATCGAATGTAGGCTGTGAAAGAAGGCCCGTAGCTGAAGCAAAGCCGAGCCCGCAGTGTGTATCGTGGTCCCAATAGGATGTGATCAATGTCGGCAAACCGAGCCCTCCTTTGAAGTATCCTCATTAAGTAGGTTTTTTTTTTTCTGTTGTTGTTGTTTTCATCAAAGAGATCTGAGGAGAGCAAAATTTTCCTTGGAGTCTGAGGGGCGGTCGGTTGCAACAACAAAAGAAAAGTGCTTCCCATGAGTCTCAGGAAACAGTCTGATACAATATCAAAAGAATTATAATACATTTCCAATGAGGATGACCTACTGGTTTGTTGAGTAGCTTCCCAATCAGGGGAGTGATTCATTCCCCCAGAGTGGTTGGACCTGTCAAAGTGCCCTTGAGTGAGATACTTAACACCTACCTGCACCAGGGCCGGTACCGCCCGGTCGACCCGGGTGCAAGGCTACGGGGTATAAAAACACGTCTTAGGACTTGGTTAAGCGATGGAATCTTAGCCGCAACATCGAAACTATACAGGCTGTCTGCGAGTCTTATGATCGCTCACAACAAGGACCGATGGTGCTCTCCAGGGACATCTGGGAGGAGTGGCGGATCAGCGGAGCCATCGTCGGGTCCACCATGGAGGAGGTAGGGAAGAGCTTGTACCAGCCAATCACCATCGAGCTGAGGTCCAGCTCCTCCAGTAGGATTCGAGCTACGCCCATGAAACATTTGCGGTCCATCCGTCCGTAGTTGCCCCAAACGATGACCTGAAGAGAGTGACGGGATACAGATTAGGAGGAAAAAGTCAAATTTCCTACCAAACATTTTAGCATTTTTTGTGTTACGTCAAAATCCAAATAAAAACTGCAGCATCATTATAAAACATGTGCTTCACCAATTGTACTACAGCAAGTGACAGATGTTATATCCCACTTATAATATCTCAAAAACAATTCTCAAGAAGCCAAAATATGTTGGATATTCTGGAGAATGTCAGTATTATAGTAAAGCATTAATGCACATGAAAGTCTAAACCGAGGGTCAGAGGTTTCTACAGTTTGCTCTGCTTCATGTTTGAAGCCTCCACCTTGAAAAACAACCTAGAAAATGTATTTATGCACACAGACTTCCCTTTGTTGAACACTTTCGGAGGGACAAAACTGTAATTGCATCCTGTTTTCACTGAATTTCGTCCACCATGCTGCCAACTTGCTTATCAACCCTTTGAACAAACCCACACGTGAGCCCATCCCAGCTGACTTAGGGCGACGGCAGACCCTATCACACTTGAACTTGCTCTGTGGCACTTATCTAGATTGTTTTCTCCTGACTTAGATCCTTGCTGGTGTTGCATCCGCGCTCAGATGTACCTCACTTTGGATAAAAGCATCAGCTGGATGATTGTAGAATGAAATTGTAAAACTTTATTCTATGTGTGATTTAAAAATTCTCCAAAAACAAATAGTTTGCTTTCACCAGATTGTGTAAAAAGTTAAAAATTCTGGGCTCCTTGGTGCAACTAAGAAATTATGAGCGTCTCAGCTGCAACCAACAGTCATCCCATGAAAAATGCAAAGACTTTTTGGCCGAATTGGGCTGAGCTGCAGGCTGCTTTTACACTGAGCAGGTAAGAGACAAGTATTAATAGTATGCAGAGTCACTGGTAACACCTGTGAGGCCTTGGAATTATGTTGTATTTTTTGGAAAAAAAGTATTCAAAGAAATTCTAATTTAGTAGTTTTTTTTCTTATTTTATGATTTTTGACATCACAACTGTCACTGTCACGCTGCACAGAAGACATTTCAGAGTTCTCTCTATTTCTAATCATGGTTGTGTTGTTTCCATGGAGGTTCAGGACTTTATATTGCAGAGAAAAAGGAGCCCATAATGTGACAGGAGCAGAAAACGCTAGATACAGAAAGCTTACCACGGTCACCATGCTGGTTTAACATTTTAGAATTAGCACTGAACCCAGATGCAATGCTCAGTAAGGATGGCTTATAACTGATGTGAAGCAAGCAGACCTTTAACTTTCACATTTCAAGAGGATCACACAGGTTTGCAAACATACATGTCAGCAGACGTCGCTGCAAGAAGCATGCAGCCGACTTAAGGTGGTTAATCGACATTAATCTAGATTTGGTTTGGAAATCTGCTCTAAAGCAATACGGGGTCTTGACAGCTTCTCTCCCGGCCGGCTGAGGTGTCAATTAAAGTAAATACAGCGGTAACGTGTGAGCAGAGAGGGAGGGAGAGGATGGCGGCGCTTAGGATGCTGAGCGTGTTCGTACGTTAGGTGTCCTCTGTCTCCTGACATCCTGATAACATCAGGGCTCATCTCAGACGGCCCCACATCTTGTCAAGCGGCGGACGAAATAATCGATATCCATCAGCGCATGTGTCCCCTCGCGTGGTGGTCCGGTGTGTCCGTGCCCGATCGTTCGGTATGTGCGAGTGTGCGTCCGCTAGTGATTTCCACAGAGACTTAGAGGCTAAATCTGCTGCAATCTAGTCGTTCTGTCTTTAAAAAAAAAAAAAAAACACAAAAACTGAGAATCCATCTCGCTTTCTGTCTGCCTGCAGCCACTTCTCCACACAAGGTCCCAACCTCAGACACTACAAATTAGAAGATGGAGACAGTGTGAGGAGGGAAATGACTGGCAGAGCAGCAGAAACTGTGCTTAGATGAAATCACAGCATCCTGGATCCTCTACTGCAGGGGTGTCGAATCCTGGTCCTCGAGGGCCGCAATCCTGCAAGTTTTAGATGTGTCCCTTCTTCCAACACACCTGATTCAAATGATCAGGATCGTTATCAGGCTTCTGCAGAGCTTGATGATGAGCTGATCTTTTGAATCAGGTGTGTTGGAAGAAGGGAAACATCTAAAACATGCAGGATTGCGGCCCTCGAGGACCAGGATTCGACACCCCTGATCTACTGTCTCGCTCACCAGAAAGGAATCAGAAGAACAGCAACAGCGTCATTGAAGAAAGTCTTGCATATCTTATTGGATAGTCTGGTTTATAGTGTCCGGCCAACCTTGTGTCACCAGTTTGGGGACGTCAATAAGGAAAAAGATTTTTGCACAGCGCCTGCGTTGAACCCCAGTTATAGTTTTGAGCAGAAGCAGATCCCAGCTTTCCTAGAAGAGTAGAGGCCGAGTAGGAAGCAGAGTAATGTTGGAATAACCTGTCCGACGATCACAGATTTGTGATCTTAGGTGTTCATAAGTCTATGAGACGTATGTTTGGGGGCTTCTTGATCACTTCTTCTTGGCCAAGAGCGCAAATTTGTACGCCGAAGATCAGGAAAGCACTGACCTTATTGCAAGAATATATGTTGTCATAAATGCTGACGTGGTTGCAAATTGAAAGTCGTACAGCAAAATTAATTTATTCTGAGCTGCTCACAGTTTAGACGGCAGAAAGTCTCCATGTTTAGGATTAAAATGAAAAGAGTGAAGTAGAAGAGAGTCATAAAAAAATAAAAAATAAACCCTGGACTTGTTACTTTAAGAAATTTCCTCCCAAAAAAGAGGAAAACGTTGCAGCACTAAGGTGCAATATTTCTGTTTGATAAAGTTTGATCCTCTCATCTTAAATGTAAGAAATATTCTAGATGCTATGATGTTTTTAAATTTAGTTGTAATATTGATTCAACTTTAATCCTCCTGTGCTTAATTTCACAGTTGGACAGAAAGACAACAGTGAAAAACAACCCGATGGAGATCTCCAGCTCCTGAACACATCACCTCCCCAGGAATGAGGACGAGCCAAACGTTTAGCTCCAGAAAACGAAAAACCAAACACACAGCGGCACATGGAAACAATCGTTCACAACAAAATAGGAGATTACATGCAAATAGTCGGCAAGCGCGAGAGATAAGCGAGAAAATGAGATTATCGGAGGGCGCGGAGCAGAGGAGGCGAGCAAGGAGGAGGACGGACAGCCGGTAATTAGAAAGGAGGCGTTTAGCGGCTAATTAAGCAGAAACAGCAGCATCAGACCGTTCTGAAGGCCTCTTCACTGAACATACAGAGGTTTAAAACCCAACGAGCTGCCTTCGATGTAGCACAGCGTCCCTACAGCATGTCTGAGTTACTCACGACTGATGAAACAACAAACTTTAACCTAAAAATCCAACGTTGAGACCAGTCTTTTCAATGTAAATCATGAGTTTATCAGTGTAACTTGTATCAGTAGGTTATGTCACATTTATGTCTCACAGCATTTTTCCATTTCACACGTTACATAATGTTGTAACCAGTGGACCTCCAGTATATGCACAGATGATCAGCGTCTCTCCTAAATGCATCAAATTAATGTGCATTAATACACACAGCACACGACAATATACAAATACATAATGAATCAGTGTGCAGCTGTTGACCTACATAAGAAAAATTAACTAATTTTAATATAAATGCAGTCTCTGATGTCAAATGCAATAAAATAAAGTCATGTACCACTTATATGTGACAGCAGAACCACTTTAACTGCAAACTAAATGCAATAATAGCTGCTAAACAGAAGGGAAAAACTCTTTTCTCTGTGTATTTATTCTTACATAATGTCCTGTGACAAACAACGTCCTTTAAATTAACAGATGCCTCGAATCGTTTAGCGTTCTGCAAATTGGTTTTCTCATTGCGCCACGTTTGGCAAAGACTGGGGGGAAAAAAAAAACAACTGAGTCAGCCTCGGAGTCCGTTAAGGAAGGTTTGTGAATGAATTTTTTCGGCGTAGACGTAAGCAGCTCCCCGCTTTGCTAAATCAGGAAGTGACAAATTGAAAAGCGCTGCTGATTTCAGCGATTTTCATTATCCAGTGTGAATGAGTTTGATGAAACTCGGAGGACAGCGACACAGACAGCAGATAATTAAGAGGGAGGCGTTTAGTGGCTAATTACACAGCGACAGGAGCAGCAGAGCAGCCAGAGGCAGAGCTGCAGACCTCTCCGCTGCACAAACCACCGCTTCCACCTGCTGATTACGGAGGAAACCCGACAGACGTCAGGTTAAAACGCCGCTGTTTGCATGGAGCTGCGTGTTATTTAACCGTCGTAGAGCCACGGTGAAACATGGAGTACAGCAAGAAGGAAACAAGGCAAGAAAAAGTAACGTATAGGAAAGGAAAAGTGACTAAAAGACTGAAAAGGTAAAATAAAACAGGGCAGAAGATGAAGCCAGTAGGGTGGAAGGGAAAGGAGGGATAAAATAAATGAACGAGGCAAAAAAAAGTAGGAGAGGGAATTGAGCAGAGAAGTAGTGAAGCAAAGAAAGTACAAAAAAATGAAATAAGAGATGTAACAGTAGAACGAGAAGGATAAAAAATAAAGAAGTGACGGAGTGGAAAATGAAGGAAAGAGTGACGGGGAGGGAATACGAAGCAGGCGAACGGACGAGGAAGGAGAAAAGTGTGGCGATAATCAGTCCCTCGCAGTCGGTCTTTTGTGACATTTTTGATCCTGAAAGCAGCTGAAGCTCAAACAAACCAAAGAACAAAATCAGCTCAAAACAGCCGGCGGGTCCCTCAGGTCAGATCCTCGCTGTAAATGTCAAACTGTGGTTTTCAGCTTCCTCTCTGAGGAACCTCAACAAAACCAGAGAAAGACAGAGTCGCTTCTAATCATTGTGTGTTTGCAGCGATGCTTCAACCACGACAGGGACACGGTTCTATGACAAAGTCTTTTTCTTAAGCGGTGGCGATCACGTACCTGCACCACTTTGCCCTGTGGGCTTTCAGAGAAGACCAGGACCTGGTTGTAGAGAGGATCCAGAGACTTCCTCACTGACTTGGTCTTCTTCTTGGCCACACAGATCCCGTTCTCCAGGAGGTAAACTTTGATGTAGGCCGCTGGAACCACAGCAGACAGAAAAAAAAAATCAACTTTAATGAGAATCCTGCAACTCAGAATCAGAATCAGCTTTAATGGCCAAGTATGTACACAACATACAAGGAGTTTGGTTTCGGCTGTTGGTGTCGCTCTGGGAATTTGCACGAATTATAGAAATAGGAAAATTTAAAAAATAAAATAAAATAAAGTAAAATAACTACAGAAAGAAAAGAATAAAATACAATAAATATTAATAAAAAAACAATAAGATAATAAGACAAATGTATACAAGAATTTACACAACTCTGCTGTAAAGGAGAATTTTCTGTGACTTTAGAGGTTTAGTCTGGTGATATGCAAAATAACTTTATTTTTTTCATTTTTGTGACCAAGTATTTTGTATTAAACAATATTCTGTCTGTTTTATTTTGTATTATTGTGACATGAAACTACATATAGTTCAGAAACTATCATTTGCTGTTTTCTGCATTGTCAGCTCTTTTTTTTGTGTTCAAGACTTTTCATGACAGCTTACTTTTTTTTCCCATAGTCCAACTCACCTCGACTATTTGATCTAGTTGCCCAGCATTACAGATACTGAATTTATAAGAAATAACAATGAACATTTCAGGCTTTTATCTATTATAGTTCCTTAAATTTCAAAGTGCGATAAAAAAAAAAACACACTGGAAGTGGATCAACTGGTAATATCTCGGAGAGTGTTTCATATAAAATGTTAAAACTTCATAAATATCTTTATAAATAGTCATATTTTACTCAAACAAAATTTCAGGCAAATCCGAGACGGTTGATCAGAAATAGTTTGGTGATTCGAGGTGGAATGACACCTAAAGATTTCTACAGAGGATTCGTAAAGTGGTGAGTCTCACCATTAAAACTGGGAGGAAAACATTAGACTATGCTGCAGTAGAAGAGTTTAAATTAGTGTCCAGTAGAGGAGAAGAAGAGAGATCACAGAGGACAGCAGATGAAGTAAAGATTTGATAAAACCTGCAAAGCAAGTGATGGGTCAAAACAACAACAACTGCCTAACCGATGCAAAAAGCGACAACTGTAAAATGAAACCAGTAAAATGTAAACGGTAAATAATCTGCACTTATGTGGGACCTTTTAGCCATAGCTTGGTTTCCCATTCACACACGTGAGCAGTTTCCCGCCCAAGGACACCACAGCACTCGACACCTGAGCTCGATGGCGTCATGATTATTCCGTTAAACATAACTTCCATTAAACCACAGTCCAGCATAAATCATTCTCCTCTACAGCTCTGTCGTCACAGATTTTTTTCCTTAAACTGTTCTTGTCTGCATACGTATCGGTCCTCTAAGAACACTTCATCGTAGACGACAACAAGCGACTGGACTAGTAGGGATGTGCCAGTCAGGGTTTCCCTCCCTGACATCGAGATGAAATGGGAGGAGCTGTATCCCAAAATCTGTTTTCTGTCAGATATTGAAATGAATGAAATGAATGAAAATGAATGAAATGAAAAATACTTTATTTATCCCAGAAGGGAAATTCAATAAAATGTGACAAGCCCCGAGCGGGATACGAACCCGGGGCCTCCAACGCCAGGACTAGTTCCCGGTGTGGGAAGGGGCCGCTTAGCGTGGTGAGCTATGCGCACGCCTATATATATTCTTAATATACCTGAAAAATAAGTAATAAAAATGAATCAGAATACTGAAGTTTCTGGTTGAAAATTGCACAAGTTTAGAAGAATCTGGCGTGCTCGCTAATTGGAGCCTCTTTTCTTCTTCTTCTTCTTTCTTTCACTTCTGCACAATGCTATGGTTAAACAGCTTTACAGGAGAAATACAGCCTCATAACAACAACGCGCATCAGTCTTCTGGTTGTAATTTCATGGCCTGGAGTCAAACTCGGTTGCTAGGTAACACAAGCAGAAACAACATTACACACCGAAGCGTTTTGTCCAGTGCGTCGGATGACAAGATTAAAGATCCGACCTCGAAATCTGGAGCAAGAACCTGCTTTGTCTTTACACTGTGTGTGGAGCTTCTCCTTTCATCTCTCCATCCAGTCGCTTTTCTTTCATTCACATCCTGACTCTTGTTTGCTCTTTGCTCGGTTTAATTTCCTCTTTTCTCTTATCTTTCCTTCATAGTTTTGCTGTTTAATTCTTATGCAATTAGGATCTGATTGAATATTACGCAACAGCTAAAGTGAGTAGTGGAACCATCCCGACTGGAGTTTTGTTCTGTGCAGCAATATTTAAAGTCAGAACGACAGCATTAGCGCAAACAAATGCTCTTCTCACTAATTCAGCGTATCACCTCCCTCTGCTCTGCGTGTTAACTCCCTGAACAATGAAAACACCATCTCCCACTCTTCACTCTTGCATCTTTTATGTCCTCAAGTACCATAACTGTGATTTTGGGAGCTCTATCCCATTAGGTCTAAAATGTACCCTGCAGGCTGTTGTGTGCGCAGCTGATTGTGATGCGTTCGTGTGCAGTGGGAACTGCCATGCTCCAAGACACGGCAGCTGCTCAATGCACAGAAGTAAAGCAGCGTTATAAATGGAAGGAGAAAAAACAATTCAAATGTTGTGCTGTGACTCTGAACATCTGGTGTTTTCTAGCTGAATATGGCAAAAAAAAAAAAAAACAGCTTTGATTCTTCATCTCAGCAGACTAGAGTGCTACAGACCTGGAGGTCCCTTTGAACCTGGCTTCATGGTGAGTCCTCTGGCCTGGACCACCTCCACCTCCAGACCTCCGTTCCGCTCCATGAGGCCGATCTCTACATCACCTGGGTGGGGGGAAACAGATGCACTTAGCAATGAGGATGAAAGAGGTGAACGAATGTGTCCAAGTTAATCAAACTTTGGAGTCTCCATGTTCTCCCCGTGCAGCGTGGGTTCTCTCCGGGTTCTCCGGCTTCCTCCCACACAGTCCAGAAACATGTTGAGGTTAATTGGTGATTGTAAATTGTCCGTAGGTGTGAATGTGAGTGTGCTTGGTTGTCTGTCTCTAAGTGTAGCCCTGTGATAGACTGGTTACCTGTCCAGGTGAACCTGCCTTCACCCTGAGTCAGCTGGGATAGACTCCGCCCCCCATGACCCTAGTGAGGATTAAGTGATGTATAGATAATGGATGGATGGATGTATAGATGATGGATGATTAGGCTCAGAGTCTTTGCCCAAAGCAACTCGTAGGGAATTTTGTGATTGACAAGAAAAGTGCTGAAACTCATCATTTAATCCAGAGAGCACAGGGTTTAGTTTCATCTTGCATGTTCAGTGTCTATCCATCTGGTTTATCATGAAGTGACACAAACAATGAATCGGGGCCTTTCTCAGTTCTTTATCATGATCATTTAACACACGGGTGTCGAACTCCAGTCCGCGAGGGCCACAGTCCTGCATGTTTTAGATGTTTCCTTCTTCCAACACACCTGATTCTTCTTCTGGAGAGCTTGATGATGAGCTGATCATTTGAATCAGGTGTGTTGGAAGAAGGAAACATCTAAAACATGCTGGATTGCGGCCCTCGAGGACCGGAGTTCGATACATAAACATCATGTGAGACTCTCAACTTCAGCCTCCTCGTGCTCCATCAAGCAATGGACCGTCTCTGTGTGGAAGCGATGGACTCCCAGCAGCTTCACCTCACCCAGGTGGCTGCTGGTAACTTCAACAAGCTCAGCAGCAAATGGCAAACAACACTAAAACTAAGACTCTAAGAACCCAGACTGTTTGCTCAGACGGCTGTAGGTCACTATTTGAGAAGATGTCTGCTCCGTAATTTAGCTTCTTTCTGCCTCGAGTCATCAGAATTTAACATGACTGCATTTTTCATACGGAAAATGAAGAAGTCACATCTGAATAATAATTTCAGCTAAATGCCCCCCGAAAATGACAAATGCATTCCTCTGAAAGTGACAGAGCAGCGATGACAGCCAAGTTATTCTGGGTTCTCTGACATTATATAATGTTGGACCGGACAGCGGGTTTGGAGTGGAGCCGGTCCAGTCAGTGTCACTGTTGTCGGGCCAAGGACAGCGTCTGGCTGCCAGCGAGGAAACTGACCCACTTACAGTAGATCACTGCCGCCGAGGACAGACTGCATACAGTATATACAGCCTGGAAATGAATAAATGCAAAAGAAGTGGTGCAATAAGAAAAAAAAAAGCGGTAAGACGCCGCTCTGACTTATGAGGCACTTTCATGCCAGAGTGTGAAATGACTTCAGCGGGTCCAGTTTTATTAGAGAATTCTCAGGAATGATTTAAGTTTTTAATCTCCAGATGCATAAATATAGAAAGAAGTGAGTGTGGAGCGACTTTTAAGTAGCTTCTTCGGAAGCAGCAGAGCGTAAATTTCAGCCGTCTCTCACCCATGGACGTCGTCGCCAACGTCTGCCGCCCGACGAACTGGGCCGGGCCCATCCCGTCCAGGAAGTCGCTGAACTGGGCGTCCGACGCCAGACACATGCCGCTGTAGTTGAGGCTGCGGAGACGGATGGTTAAACATGACCAGACGGTTCTCAAAGCAGTTCAATTAGCAGGAGAAAGTGAGTCAGACACAATGCAAGAGAAGGGGAAACAGAGTGGCGACAAAAACAGTCCAGAGGAAGAAGGAGATAGTGGAAGAGAGAGAGAAAAACAAGAATAAAGAAAAAAGGACAGATAACTGGAAGCCATTTATCACTTCGGTTTCAGCTCAGTTGAACTCCCGAAATTCAAATTGGCTTCCTGAAAAAACTAAACTCAAAGTGTCGGCTCTAAAGTTTGACCCTGCGTGTCCTCGTTTTCTGTGTGTTTGTGTGCAAAGGAATCAGCTCGGAGTGCTTTGGTGGCTTGTGGCCAGCTACTATAACCCAGTGTGTGTGTGTGTTTGATCTTTATTCATCCGCGCTCTGATGAGGCTACTTAGCTGCACATTTAAGGAAAACAGGTGAATTTTTTTTTTTTAAAACCTTTCCTGCAATCTAAATTAGCCAGCAGCTTTGTCATCAATGTGAAATGGAGGAGACTTTTTTACTAAATTGTTCCAATAAAGGCGTAAAAGGCTGACATTTAACATTAACTCCTGCGTGAGCGCTCATCAGTCATCACTAAATCATTTACGTCCTCTGGCGCCACGAACACAAACAATCACTTATGTTAGATTAGCGCGCCGCCGCAGATGTCGTCTTAATGCACAGATGCAATGCAGTGAGAACATTATGATACATGCAATTAATAAATCAACATGTTAGATTAATTATAATGAGGTAAAAGTCTTTTGTGTGCGAGCGCATGTGCACACGGCTGACGTGCGACGAGTGGAGCGACATTAGCCGAGTGGGTATTACTGGGTGATAAAATCCTGAGCTTTAGATTATAATGTTAGTGTGCGTCTGAGGATTACGCCGCTGCTTCACAGAAATGTGACGCTCAATGTAAACCGCCGTAGTCAGAGGACACGCTGGAATACGTTTAAGATCCCACACTAAGTTTTTATGGTTGTTTTTGTGACTGTTTGTGTTGATGTAGGAAGATAAAAAGTGTTTTGACTTATGGGAATATAAATGAGTGAAGGTGAGGAATTAGTGCTGCATTTAGCTGATTTTTTATTTCTTTTTTTGAAGATAAGTTATGAAACTTTAAAAAAAAAATATGTCTGACATGTTAAAGGAGGAATCAAAGGCTAAAAAGCAAATTAGTTGTTTGTGTTTGTTTGACTGGATTCACTGTAATACAAGGACTCTGTATTTGCACTGTTTTCTCAATTTGCACATTTTGTACAGATGTTTTATTTATTTTATTTTATTCACCTATTTTTATTTGTAATTTTTTTAAAATAGTATTTAACTTTGGCTCTTTTTCTGTTGGGACTGGTGTTTTTTCTTTTTCTTTCTCTTGCTGCTGTACCACAGTAATTTCCCAGACTGGGATAAATACAGTATTTTTCTATTCTATTCTGTTCTATTCTATTCTATTCTATTCTATTCTCACTGGGCGCTCGATGGAAACAGAGCTGCTCTTTTACTGGTCCTTAATCTTATTCTATTCTTTTTCAGTCATAACCATCCACTAAATGTACACTGGAGATGGTTTTTACAGTATTATGTGTTTTTAATTTTATTTTATCAGCAATAACGGATCAATTCTTCTGGTGAATTCTGTCACTTCGAGCATCAAAAGTCCAGTTTTTCCACTTTTATTGATATATATTTGAAAAAAATGAAGCTGCCGTTCCAAAACATTACACACTTTGAGTGGCAAAGCTTGACCAGTTAAACAGTTAAGCCTAAATTGTTTTCTCAAACTTGATTTTTGGGGGAAACGTAGCTGTAGCCTGAATAAAATACGGTGCAGTCTTCACATCTCAGGACCTGAAGTTTAAGCAACAAAAAGGGAAAGCTTGTGGTTTGAATAGTAGAAACCTGCTGGCTGCTAGAAGAAGTCCTCTGAGGACCTAAACACAAACATGACGACCTCACAGTTGTGTGCATTCACCAAAAAGTCAAGTTCTACTTTTCATCAATGTCTGTCCAGACTTTTCCCTTTTGGATATGAAATGTCATCACGTCATAACTGTATCCTAGTTTGTTAGTTCGCTTTATATTGAAAATTGTTTTTTGTATCTGCAGCAACTGTCAGATGAATTTAAACACAAGCGAACACACCTGACATGGTGCGGACGCTCGTCATCACCATGCAGCGCGAGAACTAAGGTCTATTAGACTATTTAGAGTTAGCGTATGAGATCTCGACCTTTGACTTTTGGCCAAAACTTAATGATGTCACTTTTGAGTCCAGGTGATTGTTTGTGCCAAATTTAAAGAAATCTCAGTCACTCAAGAGATATTATGGTCGTAGAAGAGAACGAACAGACAAACAGAAACATAAATGCCTGAAACCGCGGCGTAAAATCTAATCTGGAGTCAAGTTAAAGACAAAATATGCTGCCAGTAAACACTTACAGACACATTTCTTCATTATGTTGATAAAATATAATCTGGACAGCGTTACTTTTCATTCAAAGCATATTTGCTGTTGTGAAACAGGAGTAATATATTTTTAAAGATGCAAATCTTCCTTTATCATCACTGTAAAAAACACAATACAATTTAAAGCTACAGATGAAGCGGCAGGCTGATCGAGGGCCTTAACGAACAGTTTGTTGCCAGGAAAAATTAGATTCAATTAAAATTTTACAAACTAAACCCAATAAAATGCGTCTCCACTAACAGGGTTTAATTAAATCATTTCAAACTAACAAAACTTCTTCAAAAGACAAATAATATGTAAACGAATACGCTATCAGTTACACAAACACAACAAAATCTTTCTCCTTTAGCTCCATCACCACCATCAGCACACACACACACACACACACACACACACACACACACACACACACACACTCGCTGGATCCCGAACTGCCCCGACCATAAATCAATAAGCTCATAAGTGTGATTGGATGGTGTTAGCTAACAAAGTGCTTATTCATGGCTGTGCATACGCAGGCACGGAGCTTTTCAATCAGCCGCCCGAGCCAAACAGCTGACGGAAAAACGGAAACGCAGACAGACAGGAAGACAAGCGGCAGTTTGCTGCCGATGATTTAAGCGATGCAGTGGTGCAGCCAGTTTAATGATTCAACCGTCGCTCCCCTCCGCGGAGCCACGCTCGTAGCTCGGAGCGTGCACAGATTTCAACCACTTAGCTCGCCTTTCTGGCAAAATCTATTTTTTATGTTGCACAGTTGAGGCAATTTCAAAGGGGGTGTAAAATAAAAGGTGCAACCAAAGGGAAGGAGGTACATAAACGCATCATGTTGGTCAAAATTAAGTTGCACCTAGTTGTGGCCCAAACTAACGGAATGAAGTTGTAGTTTTTGGAACGGCAGCAAAAGATGTGGTACATATTGGACATGTTTTCCTAAATATCTCACGCAGCAAAACAGAGATGCCACCTGGGAATGTCCACAGGAGGTATGTGAAGCATCTTTGTAAAGCAGATCCCACTTCCTCCCACTGTGAAACTGTAAAGTCAGAATATCTCAGCGATGGGTTTTGACACCTTGCAGCCAGAGATCTAGTTTTGACTGTTGTAATAACTTGGTGTCTGTTTTTTTTTAAACTATAAAACAAATTAGTACTTGCTAGTTTTTTATCGAGCTGGATGCATATCAGCTACTTGTTCCTATCAATTGTGGGATGCTATAACTAATTAACTTTCCAATTAAGTTAACCTTCAAAACAAAAGCCTAATGTACTGAAACATGCGCACATTCCTCAGTGAGTGCATTTTACTGCAAAGTGGGTTGAAACACACAATAAATCAGACAGTTAAGGAAAGAAACCGTCCTCTGCAGCCGGCAGTCATGCAGAAACACCATTTTATAGCATCAGTCGGAAACATACTTTAACATTAGTGTGATAGGAAGTACTAATATTTGGACACATTATTTGAAGTCTGCCTGTAATTTTTTTAATATATATATTTGTCTTTATTTTTTGTTTAGTTTGGCTCATGTAGCTTTACTTCTGTGGTGCCACATAGAGTCTTTAAAAACCAGAATTTCCTCTGTGTGTCTGTGTAAAGTCACAAAAAAATAATCTTCTCATATTAAACCAAGACCACAATCGTTCCCAAACCTTAACAAAGTGACGTGATCACCTAAAAAACAACCACAACTCCGGCTTTATTGCAGCTGTTGTAGGATGAGAAACGTCAGTAAACATTTTGCTGAAACATCCTGGCAGACACTTAGAAATAAACAGATATGTTAATTAGGGGTGTTTAGAACCCAGGAGGCATTAAGTTGGTTTCAAAGCAGATTTACATTTTTTAATTAGAATTGTATGGATGTTAAAAAACACACATAGGTGCATGCTGTGTTTTTATTTTAGCTTTGCTTGTCCTCCTCTGTCTCGTTCTCATTTCTCTCATCGAGTTTGTTTGCATGTGTATTCACATCTTCAATAAATAAACCTCATTCTGATTTAGACCTCAGTCTGAATGTATGTGGACGCTGTAGGATTTTACCACTACAAAATAAACAAGTTCTCATTTTTCTGGTGTCACATTCTCTCTCTTTTTCTTCCATATGGGACATAAACTAACCGGCGTTTTCGTGCAGCGGCTCATAAACAAAATATCTGCATATTCCAAATATAAATGGAAAATTAATATGCATGCAAACGCGCTCAATGATGCAATCATCCCCCCTCTCTCTCTCCCAGGCTCTACCTCTGCTTGTTTTTCCTCCCTCCTCTGTTAAACCCTCCCAGCCCACATCAGTCTGTCTGTCTGCCGTGTCTCGTTATGTAACGGCAGGAATTCGAGCTGGTCGCCAGGTTGGCACCGATCTGCATGTGTCCGTGTGTGCGAGCGCTCAGTAGTACTACACTATTATTGCTGATGTCATAGGTGCTTTTCCACTGACTGTATGCGTTCTGACTTCTGCTGTTAGACGGATAATAGAAACACTAACACGAGGCGCTGAAGGTAGAAAATGTACGTGGAAATGAAAAGGAAAGAGTGTTAACCTCCGCTAATGCCAAGCAACGCTCCAAATTTCACTCCTGTCGCTTGTGTTCCGAGAAAAGTTCTTGCAAAGCTTTGGTGTTTAAATCAAGTCTGTGGTCATTTTATAGATGTGGTTTAAAGCATGAATCGTCTAATGTCATGCATCCCGGGTGTATTCAAAAGACCACCTCAAATTTTATACGTATCTGTTGGTGAATAACTGAAATGTGCTGCAGGGAAGCAGATAAACGTCCGTGCAGGCCAAACAAGCAGAGGTGCAGATCTAAAATATTATTACAATCTTATAAAACCATTTTAATTTTTAATTCCTGATTTCATCCCAACGAGCCACCTGCTTCTACAATAGACACGCTGCTGCTGCTTCCTCCTCCTTTAAACGGAGCTTTAAGGGAGCCGTATCTGAAAGTCATGATGCATTGGCACGAATAGACTGCAGAGCCACATTGGGCAAACTAAGAGATGCCTGGCAGGAGGATCTGGGATGGATATAACGGAAGATCAGTGGAGAAAAGCCCAAGAACTGTACGTACCAGACATGGATCGCTGCAGTTCAAGATATTACACAGACTGCACCCATAAAAAAAAAAAGAGACTCTCCCACATGTTTCCTGCAGTACATTCACCCTGTCGTCGACGTGGACAGAAACGAGCTTCATTAGCACGTCTTTTAACTGCTTGACTGAGATATTCCAACCTGTCTGAGATACAAGATCCAGCTGTATAATATAGAATATAATTTCATTTGTCTGTGGCATCGTTAGATTTTGTTAAATTGGAAGCAGATAAAAACACCAGCCGGCCGAACTTTGGTGAAAACATGACGCGACTCTTACAGGGGAGGTGGAAGTTTAATATGTTTATGTGTTATATTTGGTGTATATTTAACATGGGAGCCTATTTCAATATGATATTGATGGTGATATTCTTGTTTTTTGCCTTCTCCTTTGCACCACGATAAGTACAAAACATATGCACGTACTGTACGGTGTTTAACTGCATTTACATTAGTACCAAAACCCTGCTCGGACTGCACGCAAAATGTGTCCCCAGAATGTGATTAACTGCTTGATTTTGACTTCAGGTCGAACCGTATCGGTGCTGAACTGGAGCGAGACTTGTTACTCACTTCCCCTCGGAGCCGTAGCTGTTCATGCTGTCCTCTATGGACTCGTGGCTGGCCTGGCGGACGGTCCGACTGGGCATCTCCACGGCCAAACCCGTCTCCGTGCTCCTCTGGATGCCTCCCTTCAGCTTCCTGCCATCTGTATCCACTGCGGGGACACAAATAGATCCTGAATTCAGCTGAGTGCAGCACTGATCATGGTTGTCTGTGGCTGTCTGGATATGAACTGTTAGTACCGCTACTGGTGATCAGTTCAGGTCAGATCTTTATTGAGACTGTTGTTGCAGTAACGCAGCACAAAAACACAATTCACATTCAACTATTATTTAATGTAACACATCAAAAGACAGCGACAACAAGACACTGTTCCCAAAAGGATTCTCTAGTCCTGAGGATAGCAAACAATTTATCAAAGACAGAAAAAAAAGAAGCAAAATACCACTGATTGTGGTCATTCTGCAAATATGTCCCACTGCTCTGAATATAAACTGTAAAATGAGCGCGTTTGGCATTTTTATAAAACAATTTTATTAATTTTTTTTGCACAGTTTCTTTTTATTTTATAGTTAAGTTTTGATGTTTTTTTTTTTTTTTAAAAAAAGGTCTCTTTTGCTCTTCATAATATAAAACAATCTCCATCTGCACATACAGCTGCTGCTAGTCAGTTCAGTTTTGATTCTCTTTTTGCAGAAACTCAGCGTAACAACAATAACCAAACATAAAACGCCAACAATCCACATTCAACGAATATGTTATGTCCAAACAAATCTGAAGAAACTGTTCTGAAAAAGTTCTTCTGGTGCTGAGGATGGCACACGATATGCTGGAAAAAAGTGACGATAAGAAGCAAACTGTTAAGTCTGCAAATCTTTGACACTAATCTGAACATAAAAACCTGCAATTTGCACTTTTGTGAAATGATTTTGTTCTATTTTTTTGCACATTTAGTTTTATTTTTATAGTGAAAATGTTTTTCTTCTTTTCTTCATATTTTTAAAAAAAGAAAAGGATCTCATTTTTCTGTATCTGCACAACACCTTGCTTGTATATGTGCTGCCCATACAGCTAGCTATCTTCATTGAAGTTATTTTTGTAGTAAATTTGCATAAAAACACAAAAAGCCAAATCCTCAAATATTATGTCTCCCACAGCAAAAGATATCGCAAAAAAAAATTGTGATGAATTGTGTCTGCTAATCTTTGACACACAAATAAACTATAAAATAAGTGAACGTTGGTTTGTGATTTTTTAAAAATATGATCTTCTTCTCGTCTTTATTGTCATATTTCAACTGAACTGTCTTTTTTGTTTTTGCTTGGAAATGACCAAAAGCAGAGGAGCGTCTTTATTTTTGCATCTGCACCATTTCCTCGTAGCTGTTTACGCGTTTGTCCTGCCGCGACCTCGTCAGCGTCAGAAGAAGGACGAGCACAGAGATGAGAAATCACTTTAACAAGGCCAAGGACAAAAGCACTCGATTCCTCCTTAGAGCAGGGACATACATCTTGTTGCAAAACAGACCACAAAATCGATGCACGGCGCACTTTATGGGACCTATCTCTGGCTTCAAGGTGTCCCGAGCGTGCATGTGTGTGTGTGTGTGTGAGTGTGTGTGTGTGAGTGTGTGTGTGTTGATGGCGGTGAAGTTTATAATGAAGTGCTCGAGCAGGAGGTCGTTGCCCTTGTTTTTAGGACAGGACAGGAAAGATGTTTTCCTTTTAACAGTGAGGGCGCCCACAGGAACACACACAAAGGCAAACAGACGTCTGAGAACAGAATCCCAAAGCCCATGTGACCGTATTTTTTTAGTGAAATTGTAATGGGAGTCATTTTCATAAGCGAGCTTAGAGGGGTTTTGGTTTGTTTTGTTTTTTCTGATTGAACAAAACCGATGAAATGAGTGGATAAAGGGCAAAATCAATCAAATAAAATACACCAAAATGGACGTGGAAATGCTTTAGGAAGCCGAGCGCATCCACACACACACACACACACACACGAGCGCGGCGCTACTGTATGAAGTTAGTTCTGCAGTTATTAAAGAGCGACCTAGAATGGTGCTATTTCTATCGCGCTCATGTGGGACGGGACGATGGCAGATTTGGGTTACTGCTTCTGCTTCCTGACTGCTTCCATATGATCTGATGTGTTGGTTCGCAGAAGCGCTGTCACACATTAACACCGCTGTCAGCGCAAGGCCGGCGCAAAGGTCCAGGTGACTGTAATTTAGTCGGTGAGGGAAGTTTTGTGATGTATTCGATGGCCTGTTTTTTAGTGCACCAGCTTTCCCTCCGCCTTCGTTTTCTGCTTATAGTTCTGCCTCCAGAGAACAGTTGTGGATTCGACACAGACACATAAAATACTTGTGGCAGACAGGTCCTTGCAGGGGGGACATTGCAATTTCATGCCACCCAGCTCAGACCCTGCTATGAGTCACCGATGGCAGCCACATCTCTTTTTTGACCTTATTTCAGCCTGTGTGTTTGCTCAGGTGGATATTTCAAAGTGTAACCTCGGGGTTTAAGGGGTTAAACTGCAGTCACATAGAATCAGTTGTTCTGTAGACGGCGAGTCCCGAAACTGTCCGACTGCACAACTGCACACGGACACGGTTTGGTTAACAGGAGAGTTGGTGGGAACCAAACATCAGGAGGAATCCAACATCTGCAGGCATTCGTTCTCATTGAAGACCGGCAGGAATTCAAACCACTAAACAGGTTGTAGACAATCAACAGTTCTACACCTGTTCAAACTGCATTCACACTGCAGTGGACCTACTTTCCAACGTCACACATCATCTTCTTTTTTTTCCTGCTCCGACTGTCTGATGGCTTTCCTTCTGTCTTTTACCCCACATCAGTCTGCCTCAGCCTCTTTTCTCCCTCACTCGGTAGAAAACGTGTCTCAGAGATAGAATCTACTGTGTGACTCATATATGTGACCTTGTGGCAAAACTCACATTGCAAAAGGAGAGTTTCTTCTTGCACTCAGAGACCTCAGAGAACAAAGAACTATACAGTACACTGGTATCGATTATCATGTAATTCCAATCATCACTGACCTGCCGAGTGGATCACATTGATTATCTCGTTACAACTGCACCCATCAAGGGGTGGAAGATAATGGGCAGCGAGTGAATAGTCAGTTCTTGAAACTGATGTGTTGGAAGCTGGAAAAATGGGCAGAGTGAGGATTAAAGTGACTGACGATGGTTAAACGATTAAATCAGAGCCACTATAAGATGACAGGTCTTGTGTTCCTAGTATGCAGTAGTTAGTAGAGGTGGTCCAAGAAACAACAACCGGTGAACCAGTGACGGGAGCACACGCTGACTTGTGCAGTCGGATTCCACAGAAGAACTACTTCAGCACAAATTGTTGAAAACCTCAACGC